ACAACCATAATAACCAGTTTCGGTCAATATGAGAGTAGAAACCCTGAATATGACAGGAAACTCAGGAAGAACTTGTACTTTGAGTGAAATTGCATACCTTTTTATGACAAGAAGCTCGAAAAACCATACCCTGTTCAGCGGATCATCCCCGTATAGTCCATATATGGGAGTACCCCCCCCCCCCCGGGGGTTTTCTCATGCAAAACCGTTAAACAAAGAAATGATCCTCAAGAGAATGTGGTCCAAAATGGGATAATAAACATGTTGAGCAAAATAGGCCTCTTTTTCATCATTATCTTGTTGATATGGGAAGAACAGGTTGCATAGTATTGAGAGCGCCCACATTTCCAGGGCTCCCATTGATAGCAGACCTTTTATTAGTTCTGAAGGGACTACCCTGGCTTTATTTATTTTTAAAGAAAGGTTTCATTCATTCATTCATCAAGGCGACCCAAATTCGATTCCTGGAATCGGTGTAAAACAATGATGAGTACAGTTGTCCCATGGTTCTCTCTTTTCATTCAAGGGTTTTACCAGGATTTCTGGTTTTTCTCCCTCTCCAAAAATAAACTTCTAAATCCAAATTGGAATAATTGGATGAAGAGTTACTGTTAAATCCCATTTATTTCATCTATGCTATTACCCCTTATCCACTAGGGTGACATCATAAGAAATTTGATTATTGGGAAAAGGAGTTAATTTACTATCGAATTTGTCACATCCTAAATAGGAAAACTGCAACGTTTCTCAAACATTGCCGTTAAAATGACGAAGATATGAATTTTTGAAACAACGCATTTGTGAAACATTTCTTTGCAAAACTTCCAAGAATCTTTGTTTTGGTATCTTCGTCATAAGGGCAATCTTGATGAAGCTTTGTATTTCTACTAATTTTGATGTGACAAATTGGTAGTATGCTACTTTTTTCAATAATCATCAATATTATCAGTGCAAACATAAAGCTCTTACCATCGAGTACTTGGCACATGCTCCCAACAAAATGATTGTTCACAGTAACAGAACCAGAGGGAAGAACATCAATGACAAATTTGACAAGGTCATCAACTTTGCAAGGTGCTATTGACAGAATCATAATAAAAATATAAGCGCATGAATATTACAAATTCACAAGCAAACAAAAAACAAACAAACAAACGACACAAACAAACAAACGAACGAATGAACAAACGATAAACAAATAAATTAATAATATTAGGTTTACCTGGTCCACATGCCTGTGAGTTGCAAGCTTGCGTTTCAGAGGATGGACCAACACAGTTGGCTCCACCATGTGAAGGAGGAGGGTTGGTACAGGTACGCGTTCTTGTCTGTGTTCCACCGCCACAGCTTTTGGTACATTTTGAATAAGCTGAGTAGGCACTCCATCCACCATTAACTAATGGGATTTTAAAAAAACATTATTTTATGTTTGAATGTGGGAATGGCGAGGAAGACAATGTGAGAGCCTCAGTGATGGAGACATAAGCATGAAAGTTAATGCCAAATGGATATATTGACTCTATTTCCAAGGTGACTTAGTTTACCTTTTGTGTCTTGTCTAGAACGAGAACACTTGACATTTTTTTTATCAAACAAATACGGTTTCTTTTCCCCTTTGGTTTTGTTCCAGAAAACCACTCTTACCTGGGCACGCTTGGGATTCACATTGTTGGGTTTCCTTGCTGCTTCCCTCGCAGTTCTTGCCGCCATGGGCCGGAGGTGGGTTGGTACAGGTGCGAGTCCGTTCTTGGGTACCACCACCACAAGATTTGGAACAAGATGACCAAGAAGAATAAGCACTCCATCCTCCATCCACTAAATTAACAGAAAATGTCTTCATTAAAACTGTTTATGTAAATATTGCAATTATTTCTTGTGAAGTGATGGCTAACCTGGGCATGCTGCAGATCCACACTGTTGGGTTTCCTTGCTGCTTCCCTCACAGTTCTTGCCACCATGAGCAGGAGGAGGATTGGTGCAGGTGCGAGTCCGTTCCTGGGTACCACCACCACAAGATTTGGAACAGGATGACCAGGAAGAATAAGCACTCCATCCTCCATCCACTAAAATAACAGAAAATGTCTTCATTAAGATGGCTCTGGTGGTTAAGGAGCCCTTAAAAATATATATGGTTTAGGATAATGACCGCTCAGTTGCTGGTGGTGATGACCAGCAAAATTAGTTTTAGCTTGGGCAGACCTTGTTCCTGGTTCAACATTACTGTTCAAAATGACCAGCAAGACAAAGGTTTGTATGTGTGAACAAGTTCCAATTCTAGCTGAAGATTGCCTGATGACTGCTGTTAATTTAGAATGTACAGTATAGGATGTATGGGATCTACTGTAAAACAAAACACTTTACTGAACATTAATTTGCTGTAAAATTTGCTGCACTCATTTATATCATTTGTACTTTGCCTGGTGGAGATTCAGCAGTGATCTGAAGTTATTTAGTGTGTTTTTTTCTAAATCTTTTCTCCTTTACATAATAAATATTTGAGTATCCTGTAAACCCTACAAGTGGTTCTAGAGCCCATCATAGAATAACAGTACATAATGTCTGGGAGTGGAAAACACTGGAGAGACTGTGTGCTTTGTTTCTAAATTAATGCTACAATAATTTCTTGTGAAGTAATGGCTAACCTGGGCATGCCGCAGATCCACATTGTTTGGTTTCCTTGCTGCTTCCCTCGCAGTTCTTGCCGCCATGGGCAGGAGGCGGGTTGGTGCAGGTGCGAGTCCGTTCCTGGGTACCACCACCACAAGATTTGGAACAAGACGACCAGGAAGAATAAGCACTCCATCCTCCATCCACTAAAATAACAGAAATTTGTCTTCATTAAGATGGCTCTGGTGGCTTCGGGTTTATTTGTATCAATTAGGGGGTATGTAGGTGAGCACTAATTGTAATTTTTGGGGTATGACAAAATACAAAAAAATGACAAAATACAGGGTCAAAATAAGAGTTATAGGAGATCAATGCGGGACTTTCTATTTTTGCTTTGATAACTTTTGCCTTACACATGGTTGCCTGATCATGAGCATGCAGAGATATGAAGAGATGTTTTGTTAATAAATGCTTGTTATAACTTCAATACCTGGACAAGGATTAGCACCACATGCCCTAGTTTCTTTGCTTTCTCCTTCACAATCTTTCCCACCATTTTTAGGTGCAGGGTTAGTGCAAGTACGGGTGCGTTCTTGGGTTCCTCCACCACAAGATTTGGAACAGGTCGTCCAGTCAGAGTATTCACTCCACCCACCATCCACTAAAAAAAACAGATAAATTTTTTTTTCAAGATTTTGACTGAAGGCTAATGCTGCAGGATAAGGAGGTCCCATTTGAGGTGCATCACACCAGTCCAACACCCTTAAAATCACCATACCAAACCCAGGCAATAGGAAATCATTAGTAAAGCCATTTGCAGATATTATTATGAAGGTAATTTTTTAAGACCTTGAATGTTGGTTTGGCCAGGGATTCCACCCACAACCACAACTGTATGAAAATCTGATGCCCAACTAGCTTAGCCAGCCTGTTTGTGATTGGTTTACTTTATAACTTAGAAAGTATTTCTTTACTAGTGGTCTATCATAAATTCTGCACTCTGATTGGCTAACCTACTAGTGGTCTATTAGTGATACATGTAGACCACAAGTAGCTGAAAGTGCTGGTTTTGAAGAGCAAAACAATGGCAGCTAACTTGCATTTTCAACTTAATTTCAAACTTGTTTGTATAAATTTATTTGAACAATATTAGTAGGTTTAGACTAAAACAATTAGACCTCTCACCCTCATGGTCTATGCGGCAATAGCCTATTCAGCCTTTGCCTTCATGGGCCATTGACTACTGTACACCGTTTGGGCTGTGGGTCGACAATCTCCATACAGAATTGGAAGTTGTCTGGTCAAATCTTTGCCTTGCCAGTCAATTTGGCTGGTAAAGTTGAGACAGAAACAAGGTGTAACTGAGCTAAAACTAACTTGGCTGGTCATCATGATCTGCAACTTACCAGCCGTTATCTTAAGCCCTGATAATATATGCAGATATAAATACTCACCAATACATTTATCTTTATTAGGACAAGGTCTGGTTTCTGAACCAGTCTTGACTTCCCTATTGTAAGCTGGGCAATGTGCACCAATCTCTGGAACAAGAAGGATCTTGTACTGCACACATTCCTTGAGAATACATTCTGTCCATTCTGAAAATGAATGCAAAAGCATATTAAGCATTGATAAAAAAACGTGCAATGACTGATGCATCATTCCCCAGGATGTTTTGGGAGCAGGGGGTGGGGTTAGCAGGGGGGGTGAGGGGAGCAGGGGTGGCATGCCCTGCTAATGCACCCCCTCTTACCAATGCAACCCTGGGTTCAATCCCTGGAGGGTTTGGTGTTGTATGTGACTTGAGTTGTTTGTTAGTTTTCTCCTGTGCTTCATGGTTTTTCTCTGGCCTCTCCAGTTTTTTCTCCCTTCACAAAAATCAGCTTCTAATCGTAATTTGATCTCAGCTGCCTTATCAATTGGGTTAGGCATTAAGCCTTCCACCCAGGTGGGGTAATTGCATTAAATTTTTTGTGAAAATGAATAATAATGATAATAATAATAATGACAACGATGATGATGATGATAATGAGCTTAATTACAGTTTTTTATGATCCATCTTGGGGGGGGGGGGGGGGGGGGGGGGGGGGCGGGGGAGGTACTCCCCTATATTCGCTATACGGGTATGTGCCGCCAAACAGGGTATGGTTTTCAGCGATTCTACTCTGGAACAGGGTCAGGGTTCAGTGGGCTCAGCGGCACATTCCTACCCTAAACAGGCAAGAGTACCCCTCCCTGGGTGATCCATTCGCTACACCTCAATGCATTTACAATATTTCTTACAAAATATGATAACCTAATAAATAAATAGACTATTTTGAAAAACAAAGAAGAAAAATTTAAATCTCTCTCTATATAATTCTTCTTACCTTCTTTAACTCGATAGACGTAGTTCGACCAAGATCCACCGCCACCATACATACCATCTCCTTTTTGACAGTTATCATTACATCCTTGGTCATTGTAGGTTTCTCGCGCGTTTTCCGAACCCCAGCATTCTTTCATGTACTGAATGCCGAAGTAGGTGTATCCAAGCTTTACTGCTTTCACTTTACATTGTTCGAACATGTCCTTGAAGTCTGGGTTTTCTTTATCGTAGGTAACGGTCCCGAAGTAATGAGGCATGGTACGCTTCGAGGAATCTTTGTAGCATCCGAGAGCTTCCCATTCTTCGTAAAATAAAAGTATTCTTGTTTGAGACCATCAAATGATATTTTAACTTCATATTTGTGTGCGAATCTTGGCTTAATAGTTGTCTAACATATACTAAATATTAATTCATTTTGAAACTTTTGTGGGCTAAACTAACTACAATTTGGCCGCCATATTGGGCATTGCAGCCTTGCCAACCAAAAACCACAGGTAGCCCAATCATACACAAAAGTATTTCAATGATTTTCAATGAAAGGATAAAACATTTTCTGCTTGAAACCTTGAAATAATCACTTAACTTCATATCTCTTTAGTACTTGACGTTTAATAGTCGTCTCAAACATTGAATAGTAATTTTAAAACTTTGCCGAACCATTTCGCCGCCATATTGGGCAGCGTAACCGTGCCAATACAATACAATACAATACAATACAATTTTATTTGCTCATACAAGAAAATTTACATGAAATGTGAAAAACAACTATAGAAAACAACTAAGAAAATAAAGAATAGATAATTGTCAAAAGAACATAATTCAGAGCACCCAAAACCACAGGTAATTCAATCACTTTAAAAACATACGATAAGTTTTTGGCTCGAGATAAAAGCCAGTAAATGTAAACTACGTTTGATATACTGTGTTATATGTTTTGTGCGAGTTAGCCAATTTATCGAGAAATTTTTCTGATCTTTGGATAAACCACAGGTAGCCCAATTTAAAACAAACGGAAACTTGACAGATAAGAAACTTCAAGTGGCTTATCAGCTGAATTCGATAAAATTCATTCAAATTTTAGCTCTAGAATAATGCCAGTAAACTCGAAGTAAGTTTAGAATACAGTATCAGTATTGTTTACGCTTCATTTTGTGTGAGATAGCTTATTTTAGTATGTATTTCTTGTCAAGATGTATAAGCTAAGTTTTATTTTATGCCAAGTTTACAGAGAGTTGCTTTTGGAGGCCGAAAATAACGAATAACACTCTTTCCAAAGTGAAAAATCCCCGTGCTTTCTATGTAAGGGAATTGCAATAATGAAAGTATTATTGCTATTTGATATTGCCGTAATAAGCTGTCAACTTCAATTTTATTCTTCTATTTGAAGTGCCAAAATAGGATTTTGTGTGACTTTGTAGCAAACCGACCCCTTACAGTCCTGACAGACTGTATCTTATGAAAGGGCTTGGAAGACCGAATTACTTTGCACTTCTTGTTTTCTTGTTATACCATAGACCTCTTTACCTTGGGTGTAATGCTTGTCCATTTTAGACCACATATAATTCTCTTGAGAATAAGATTCTTTGTTTGAGTTAGTTTGTTGTATCCATATTCATGTGTCTTCTCATGTGCAACTGTTGTTCAAGGGAATAGCACATGGTCTGAAATGGGAAAACCTTAAACCCAAGGTAAATAGCTCTGTTTTTTTCCTACATGTAGCCTGCAGATTAATTCATACCAGCAAAACAACATGCATTTACCTCAATTATGTTGTGCATCCTTGTATCAAGGTTAGTATTAAAAGGTATTTATACTAATAATAGATGTATACTGTTAAATCAAGCACTACTATATAGAGCTCCCAAAAGCACTAAAATATAGTATTTTTGAGTTCCTAATTACTGCTTGTTCCTTTATTACAGACTCAGTTACTCAGGGTTCGCCTCGTATCAGTGTCTAATTATTCACAAAATACCAACGATAAAGTAAAGAATGCTACTTCTTCAACAGTGAAAACACTCTGAAATTCCACTGACTTTCACCGGAACACATAAATATTTTGCACTCATGTACAATGACATTCTCCACCAAGGTAAAAAAAGTTCAAGAATCGGTCCAGCAAATTAATACCAGTTTATAATATACTAATATGTACATATATATATAAATAAAACTTCAAAATTGCTCTCCTTTCCAGCTACTATTAGTGTCATGACGCTATACTCACTCCTCTAAGTAGCCTAAGGGGATTGAGTGTTGCATGACAAAACTAATAGTGGCTGCGTAGGAGACTAATTCAAAGTATGCCCAAAGTTTTTGCTGTAAACACCTTTCAGATTTCAAAAAGGACTATAATTTGAGGAGTTTATTTCAAAAGTTAAAATGAATCTAAAATTTAGAGGAAGTTTGTTAGTAACTTCTAGAGTCAGGTTGGCATGGTGGTAAAAAGCTTGCCTCTCACCCCTGAGGTCTGGGGTTTAAATTCCAATTACCCCATGTGAGCTGAGTTGGTTGGTTCTCTGACTGACTCTGAGGGTGTTTATGGAAAAGACTTTATTATCCACAACACAAAACCTGTGGGGGAGGGGGGACTGAAAGGCATTATGGTCTACAGCACAAAACCTGTGGGGGAGGGGGGACTGAAAGGCATTATGGTCTACAGCACAAAACCTGTGGGGGAGGGGGGACTGAAAGGCTTTATGGCCTACAGCACAAAACCTGTGGGGGAGAGGGGTAGGGTGAAATGCTTATCACATTTCCAATATTCCTTCTACCCTCCAAAGGCTTGTGTACCACCTCTAACTAGAGGGATTTTGTTTTGCCTGTGAAAGGAAGTCGCATATTTAGTGGCTTGACAGTCCGAATAAAACAAAAGATAACATTGGAATTTGTTTCTACTACTGTGCATTACATTGACTATTCTTTCATTCTTTCATGAGCAAAGTATGACCACTCTAATTTCCCCATAAAGTAGTCAAACCTCTGACTTAGAGCACTTATTTAATGCCATTTCAAGAACATGGTAACTGTTAGAACCACTGTGCAATGTTGTATGTGTAAACAGTGAATGGTAGTGGTAGTGCACATGGAGTGAACATTACCGAAGAGCCCTATATGGGAGAACAGTTGGTCATAAAATATTACAGGGTTCATGCTACTTCTTAAACTCCTTAAAAACTCCTTGAAAACTCCTTGAAAACTCCTTGAAAACTCCTAGAATTTAATTCATGTTTTCAAGGGCACTTGAAAGGCTCTTGAATTTAACAATTTTAACGAAACTCCTTGAAAACTCGGAAAGATCGGAAAATCTGAAAGTCAGCCATGTGCAACAGTGTGTAAAACCTTGGCATATTTAGCTGAACATACTCCTTGAAAATTCATTTTTGGGTCCTTGTATACTCCTTGAATAATCCTTGAATTTTAAGTGGTTACCTCAGCACGAACCTTGATTATAATAAACTTGAAAAATAAATCATTTCCAGTTATTTTTGAAAAGGAACTAAAGGCATGTATCTTAGAAAAATAATACAAATCCTATTAATGGATTCTTGCAGAGGCAGACAGGAAACCTTTTAAACAACGTCGTCAGGGCAACGAGATATGAGACGTCTATAAAATATGAAAGGTTCTAACGAACATTGGAATACCTTTTGAGCATATTTTGGAGGTAAGGTGATAAAGTGTATTATATAATTTGGATTCTTACATGATAAACTTTTAAGCATCCATTTGAAATTAATAATTTAAGTTTTTTGAACACGAAGTAAAACTCGTAAGATATCAAACCTGAAAGGGTGGTTTTAATGATCACGAGTGACTACCACCTGGCCACTAACTGAAATTACATTTCAGGATTTCTGAATTTGGAAATTATTTGAAATTATTTTTTTCCGGAATTTGGAAATTATTTTCTAAATATCAAAACTATTTTCTGGATTTAAAAATTATTTTCCKAATTGGGATATAAATTTCTGAATTCGGTRATTATTTATAATATTGAAGTTGGAAATTATTTTTTGAAATCTAAATAGTACAATGAGTACCCGACGTAATATTTTAGAATATACGATAGCATATAGTTTAGTCATGATACTAAGGTGTAAGTTGACTGGAATTATGGCCGGCTACACCAAGCTAGTCAGCTAGCTATCTATTATATAATGATAAATGTTTGAGTCAAAGTCAAAGTCTTCAACAAACACTTCTAAAATTTTCTCACATGATGTCAAAATATCAAAGTCCATTGGAAATCGTCACTGAGGTTAGTCTAGGCGAAGCCTACGCGAAATCGAAACTCTAACTTTGTCAGGTGTAGCACTTATTATATTTTCAGTCTTGTGCGAGTCAACGATTTTTTTAATGGTGTGGTCTGCCGAAAGCTATTGCTTCCACTCTATTTTTAGATCCTTTTAAACGCAACGGCTTTTTTAGATGCAAGGATTTTTTAGATGCAAAGCCAAAAGGAATGGTGAAAGGCCATGATTCAAAAGCTGTCAAAAATCAAACGTTTTACAAAGGGAAACCCAAACGTGGCTGATAGAATATTTCTAAAGTGAACAAAAAGAATTATAGTTAAATTAATTTGAGGATTATATTGGTCAAATGATTATAATAAAAAAATCGTCATTCAGAGGGATGATAATTTTAAAATAACATAAGGTAAGATGAAAGTGATGTATCGACTGCGATGTTTTCTTAGGCTGCGTTCATAATGTATGGCAGAG